ATGAAAACTCCAGTAAACTATTTGGGTGGACAAAAGAATTTGGTCTCAGCTTTTTGTCTTAAACCCGCAGTGACTTCAACAGACCACCTCTTTGTGTACAGTGGAACTAACAGGGCTGGACATTGCCTTGCAGCTCCTGGGCTCTAGGCGTTCTGCCTTCAGGCAGATACTAGGATAAATTAAATCATTCTAGCTGTCCTTTCCTGACTTTAGGCAGCTAAAGATCTCATATGAAACGTAAAAAACAAAAACAAACCCACCAAAATGTAAAAAACCAGTGAGATTCTGAGTTTAAGGTCAGATCCTGATCTTTAAGGTCCCTTCCAACCCTAACCATTCTATGATTCTGTGATTTAAATAACACAGAAAGTGAGACGAATTATGATCTGGTGACAGTCCAAAGAAAGACAATCTAGCTCTGGGAGAGCTGGCTTCACTGTAGGACAAATGAACCAACAAAATGGTTAGAGGGTCATAACATTTTCTTTTAAAGAGTGTTTTCCAGCTTGTTCAGGGAGAAAATAGCTAATCTTGACAGGTTGGTTTGTGTTGTGTGGTGGTTTTGTTTGTTTGTTTTTAATTAAAGAAAGGCACTTCAACATCTCCAGGGCAAAGGATTCTACTGGCTTTCCAGAGATGCCCAAATCTGAAGTAATATCCTTCCATACGGTAGAGATACAGAAGTTGGCATTTGATGATCTGGCCTCATGCAGGATGCCAAGGATTCCTCAAAATACATCTTCTTATAACTACATAAGACAGATAATGTAAGGTGCTGTCTTAGTTTGCAATTCTTGCTCTCCTGACCACTTAACAAAAGACAACAAAGGAGTCCATAGTCTTTGGAATACACGTGAACCTGAGAAAGAATACATATTTTCTCAAAAGGCTGAATATTAAAACTGCTTCTCTTCACAATTGCTACATGAAGGCCCTAGCCAGTTTTCAGGCAGAGCTGAAAGACAGCTTGATGAAGACATCTTGATCTAAGATGCAAGTCTGCCCATTTCTCCAGCCTGTTGTGGTCCCTCTGAATGGCAGCACACCCACCTGGTCTGTCAACCACTACTCCCAATCTTTTATTGTCTGCAAACTCACTACAAATGCACTCCGTCTCATCGTCCAGGTCATTATTCAAGATGCTGAATAGTATTAGCCCCAGTGTCAACTCCGGTGGTACACCACTGACTGGCCTCCAGCTGGATCATGACGGTGCCCAGCAGTTCAGCCAGCATTTAGTCCACCTCACTGTTGATTTGTCTAGACCTTACTTCAGATTCTGTGAGGATGTTATGTGAGACAACGTCAAGACCCTTTCTGAAGTCAAGATAAACTACATACACTGCTCTCCCCTCATACTCTTAGATGGCCACCTGATTATTGAAGACCATCTGGTTTGCCAGACATGATTTTACCCTTCATAAATCCATGCTGACTACTCTGAATCACCTTTTTGTTCTTCGTATGTGTGGAAATGGTTTGCAGGATCAGTTATCTATTACGTTTCCAGGGATCAAGGTGAGGCTGACGAGCCTATAGTTCCCTGGATCCTCCTTCTTGCCATTCTTGAACACAGGGGTGAAATCTGCTTCACTCCCAGCCTCAGGAACCTATCCCATCACCAGAAACTTTCAAAGATAATTGAGAATGGTCTCAGGATGACATCAACCAGCTCCCTCTGCAGTCAAGGGTGCATCCCATCAGGTCCTATGGGTTTGTATGTCCAGATGGTTCCCTAACCTGATCATCCTCCACTGAGGATATGTCTTCCTTGCTGAAGTCTTTCCCACTGGTCACAAGGGCCTGAAGGCTGGCAGGAAAGAAGGAGACATCACAGTCTTTTCCATATCCTTTGCCATCAAGACTCCTGCCCCATTCAGCAGCAGACCTACATTTTCCCTACCCTTCCTTTTGCTGCCCATGTACTTTTAGAAACCCTTCCTGTTGAGGCTTCTTCTAATGTTCTATGGTCCTACATGCCTCTGTCCTCTCTATCAAGAAGACCAGTGAGTAAAATAGGCAAATCATCTACTTCCCACAAGACTGAATTAAGTCTGCTAATCTGGGTTTCTTCACCTGTTGGGGCTGGAAACCCCACATCCTTGGAATAGAGCCTGCACCCTGGTTACAAATGGGAGGAAGCAATGTGCTGGGCACCCTGTCCTAAGCATTGCAAATTGGCTAACTAGAAAATGAGGCAGTCAAATGCATTAAGTGCCTATTGAAATATAGGACTTATTTGTGTTTCAGCAAACTCCAACTCTGGATTGTACATAACATAACTTCACTATTTCACAGAGCCTTCTGGCAAAGTATTCAAATTTAAGTATCTTTCTGAACTTTCGATGGAAATTTTTATATATGTATATTTTATATAGATGCTTACGTGCACACACACACATATATACACACAAACAACAGGGCCCTTTAGATAGGGACATTTTCTCACACTCACCATCTGCTTACCACACAGGAGTCACAGTAATTATTTTTCCCCATTTACAAGCAGTACCACAACGTAAGAAATCCAGTTACTGCTAGCTTTTCTATGATGTCCAACTCTAAACCTATTAATCTTCTAGAGCATAAAATAGTAAACGTATATTATCATAAAGAGTTTGGAAACAATTATTTTGAAAATTTTCCCAAACCTGACAACGCGACAGAGATAGCAATCTGACCTAAATAACCAGGCTGGTAGTTTTAGTATCAAAATGAAGCAGAACATAAGACAGACAGATGGTGCCCAGCTGCATTTTGAGTGCATTGCTGCACACACTGGTGTCAGAGTCCCAAAAAGTACAGGACACTAGTGTTAATTTGACTTCCAGGTCACTTGTGCTCTTTATAATTCAGTGGCCTCTCCTGACTGCTATCCTCAGGACAACAACTCTAAACCAGAATCCTGCCTCTTCGTGGGAAGGTCTGCTCACTTGGGTGGTTAACCAGACCTTTGGAAACCAGAGACATTCCCAGTTACTCTGCATTTGGAAAGATGACCTGGAAATGGGTGTGATAGATCAAGATTGTTACTAAGAGTAAGATGAGCACCCCAATTACTTTGGCTAAGTTCTGGCAGACTTCAGAGTAGAAAGCAAATGACAGGTAGAAAGGCATAATTTCCTTAAGTGCTGATTAGGTCACTATTTTCCTAGATATAAGAAAGTGAGGAAAACAAAAGGAAAATGACAAAACTGCTGCTAAGCTTCACACTGGGAAGAAGAAAGCTTTGGTAAAGTGTTTTTTCTATATCCCATGGTAAAAACAGTTTGCAAAGGAGTTGAATTGCCCTACCTATACATTACCCCACTAGGTCCTCAAAGCATTTCACAAAAAAAAAATATTTCTGCTTACCTATAAAGATTTTTCCTTCTACCACATTAAAATGATAATTTAAAAAGCACAAATACTACTAATAAATACAAATAGTCTGAGCATGATCATGACTCGTGGTCATAGATATGCTGATAAAACAGTTAATAAATGCTGAACTCAATATTGAAAATTCTTTGCAAAACTAAACCACCTCCTGCAAGCCCAGTTGCATATGATTTAAAGAAGACAGACATAAAACAGATTAAAAAATTTGTTCAGATCAAACAGAAAACGAAGGGCAGAGATGGATGAAACTTCTCAATTTCAGTCTAACCTGCGGGTTAAACTGAGTTATCTAATGACTAGTCAACCTGCTTCCTTTCCGTTACACACAGCATTTAGCAGATATGCTGTGTATTTCTGGAAAGGACACACCAGGGAAGCCTGTAACTGTTGACAATTTGCATATATTTTTAGGGGACATTAGACATAAAGACCTGAAAGGCAGCAGTTAAGTTTCATTTATTAAGAGGATCCACACATTTTTAAAATAATGCATGTGAGTACTGTAAGATTCATTTACTGACAGACTGAAATATATTTTCTTGCTGATACAAAAAAAGATGGTGTCATAGCAAGTTACAGCATCTCTGCAAAACTGGGACCCAACACACATCTCAGATACTACATTTTTTGTGATCCAGTCCTGAATAATCTTTGAGACAATATTCCCATCCTTGAAGGAAACCACAGGCAGTACAGTTTATCATTCTTCTGTACCATCGATTATAAAGCAGTATAAACCTACAATAATTTTTGGAAGAATTACCCCTTTCATCATCTTTGTTTCTGGAGAAAACCAGATTTCACAGAATCACAGAATGCTAGGGGCTGGAAAGGACCTTCGGATATCATCTAGTCCAACTCCTCTGCCAAAGCAGGTTCACCTACGGCAGGTTGGACGGGAACACATCCAGGCGGGTTTGGAATATCTCCAGAGAAGGAGACTCCACAAGCTCTCTGGACAGCCTGTTCCAGTACTCTGTCACCCTCAAAATAATTTTTTCCTCATGCTGAGACAGAATTTCCTGCGTTCCACTTTGTGCCTGTTGCCCCTTACCTTGTTGCTGGGCACCAGAAAGGAGTCTGGCTCCACCCTCTTGACACCTGCCCTTTAGATATTTATAATCATTGATAAAATCCCTTCTCAGTCTTCTCCTCAAATTTGCTAAATTTGATATTGCTATTGTCTGTACCTATTTCAAAACTCATTGTCATTCCTTGAATTCAGCATTACTGACAGAAACTGCTGGTGCCTTGTTTAATCTGACATCCCTTGGCATCCTGGCAAGCACCAGATGCTACAAGGTGCTAGAAACTCCACAACAGTGGACAATAATGCAATAAACAGCTTTTTGGGGGGTTACCCTTGCCAGATCTTTTCTTCATTGGCTACTGCACTAAAATATGGTTATATTAATTTGAAGTGATGTGAAATACACACTTACAAATGATAAATTTCTTCATCAATCCTGCCCAACATTTTACCTCAGTGACCTCTTGTGGCAGTGGGTTTGTGAGACTAGGCCAACATTGTGGATGACAATTCTTCCATTTAAATTATATAATCGATACAAATGAGATAAAGCATGTTTTGTTTCGGCTTGATACATGAATACACTTACCGCTTTCCGGCCTGAGTGGTAAGCTAACAGGTGGACACAGGTTAGGCATGGTGTTCTTCAAGTCAGCTAAAAGAAGAAAAAATGAAAACATGTGAAAACTATTTCATTTGAGGGTCTAAAATGTAATCAACACCTCAGTATCTTCAGCATTACTTCTGGGATCTGATGCTGTATCTTTTCACCACAAACACCAACACCAAGGATATGAGGCTGCTTTTGCTATCTAAACCTTTTGAGTTCATACATGAAACCAGAGTTCCCTAAGTTTCTATATTTGTAAACATTCCTGCAAAAACTTTTCAAAACGTAGTTTATTTATGCGAACAACTCATTTCAGTAGTTCTGTGGGTTTTTTCCATGCCCCTCACTGTATTTGGTTTTCTGCATCACAAGGGACATGAGATTTTTCTCTGCTTCCTGATTAGCAAACTAGAATTTCTCAAAACAAGAATTAGGAACAAGTCTGTTTCCAGAAGAAACTTAACAACTTAAAATTCAAATAAACATTAATATTTTCTATACGTGAAATTTCTTATTTGTTAATATTTCCCTTAAACATTTTGCAATTTTAAACAACAAACAAGAAGTTTCCCCTCTGCATGAGTTTTTTGGAAAACACTTTGGCTAAGCAAAACAGTTATTAATTCTCTATGAAGACAAAATAAATCACCATCACTACACAAGCTGAAGAGAGATCAGATTTTCTGTTTGCTTATTCCACTTTGTGCTCGCCATGCACGTAACCACTAGGTGTCTAAAAACTCAGGACTTTTACCATTCACACTAACAGTAGTGAAGAACTGGGGCTGTCCAGACCTCTCCTTCAAATGCTGCGATACGTTCCTCGTTGACTGAGCTGCACCATGACCATACGCGTGAAGTCAAATGGCTAAAGAACAGCTGTGCGGGCAAACAGCTCACAGGTCAACTTAACATATCACGAAACGTGGAGACACAGGTACCTTCCTACAACAGAAGACTGTGGACTGAAAGCAAAGACCCTGCTTCATACTAATGTCCCACCGCTTACAGTAAATTTCTCCTTCAGATTTCACTCATTTTCCCTTTTAGCCTCAGCTTTCTTGTTCCTCTTCCTGGGTCCCAGACCCCCAACACACCACCGCAACTGATACAAATTTTTTGTCTGCAAATATCTCCATTTGCATAGACATCTGTGCCTTGCTGTGTGTTATGGCAGAAACATCTGAAGCTTCCTCACTACATAAGGAAATGTCACCATCTCTCTTAACACTCCCTCCTTTGCATACACTCCAGGCTCCTCTTCAGCATCCCTCTGTCCGTGAAGTGAGCAACATCCTTTTAGTTGTTTCTTTGTCAACGAGAGGAAAACCAATTCCAACAAGTGGAAGTGTACCTACACCTCCACCGCCTCCTCTTCACTTTGTCTTTCCACCATTCTTCATTCTTCGCCCTGGTTGCCTCTCAGCTCCACCTGCCCAAAGGCATCTGCCCACAGGTGCCTGCCATTGCCTACCTTATCAGGCCTTTTGTTTCCTTCCTCTCACTGCTAGATCCACAGCCCATCCCTCCCTAAGCCCTCACGAGGATCTGGGAAACCCCATGAGTTTCTGTGGTGCCCCCTCAACTCCATGTGGTCTCCTCTAACAAGGGTTGCCCCACTAGAGGAGGAAATAGATAGTCTAGTGGGCAGAGTGCCAGCACAGCACTTGGAAAAGTTCAGGATCAAGTTCATATTTCAGACACTTCCAGCATGAATGAGGATTTTCTTTAAGTTTACCAACTCTTTAAAACGCAGTTTATTGCCAGGACATCTGATTTCGTGCTACGCAACTTCAACTGGATTATCTTTATATCACGTGCACTGGACAGATTATATCTACATGTCATGTCTCCCCTCTCCCGTCAGATATCAGTCCTCTACTCTGCAAGAACTAAGGGTGTTTAAAAGCAGGAAAAAGTACTTCTTATTCAGTTCTTTTCCATGATTCTGTCAGCACTGCCAGAGACTTGCCCCTGTGGGGCCTCACTGCTTTCAGTAGAGTCCAACAAGGTCGTGCACATTCAGACTCATAAACAGGTTATCCTCCCATAAAGGGGGATACAGCTGGACAGGTGTTCATTGTCCTTACTGTTTCAGTTTGGTTAAATCAAAGGTTAACAAAGTAGAATTAGAGCCACTCATGAGGAATGTGCCCAATGACAAACCCACTAAATTTTTTCAAGAAAGCAGTGCAACCTTTTTTTTTGCTATGGAAAAGAAAATTCACTTTGACTAGATCTGGTTTTGATTCTGCTTGAGGAAATAAGCTAACCTCTCATCCTCTCGTAACTTCTGTTTAAACACACGACAGCATCTTATTGCTTGAAGAATACAGTGCTACTTTGGAATTTGGTCTTGGCCCTTTCTTTAGCAAAACAGCCAAAAATGAATTTTAAATTCTTAACAAGACCAAACCTTTTGAAGTTATGCATCCACAGACACTGTTAAACCATAAGCCAAGCAATGAGAAACAAAGAATGATGTCTTGACCAGGACTGTGCAGTGGGACAAGATACATTTTGATTCTGACAGTGGCTGCAAGTCTCCCACACAATCCAATAAATAAATAAAATTACACTGCTTTGAGGTATTTCTATTTCTTTTCTATTAACATGGAGATTAAATTGCACCTTTCTTTCCCTCACACATATTTGTCTGCCTTGACTATTTGCAATCCTTGCAACTGGTTACTCCATCTGAAAGTTAAAGCTTCTATACAAAGGCTAATTAATAAGCTTTAATGTGCAGAAACCAGTCGGAAAGGCCATGTGCCCTGCGTCACTTACCAGGCTTTTGATACCAGCCAAATGGGTATATTTGGACTTCAGCATCTGGTAAAGTGCAATTTGAAACATGCCAAGCACTTTGTGTTTCCTCAGCACACATCTGGATTCCTAGGCTGTTCAGAGTCAGACACACGATCTTTCCACCTGCCAGGGAAATACATAGTTATAGAAATGATGAGGAAAATATTACTCTTCTAGATAGTATTTTGAGGAAAGTGAATACAGCACAGTTCCACTGAGTGTTAAAAGGAATTCCACTGACTTAGAAATCAAAGGAAGGAAATAACTAGAATTAGGGCCAAGTTTTACTCTGTTGAAAATAGTGTTGAAAAATCACAATGAATTCTGTGTGAGGGAAGGTGGGTGCCAACATTATAACCCATTAAGGTCACTAGGACTATTTCCCCTGAGCAAAGATTAAGACCTCTTTTTTGAGCAAGCAGCCCTTTCTGGTTAATGCAATCATGGAAATTAAAAATCCGCATGTATGTTGAAACAGAGCCCCTACTTACATCAAGATACAAATTTTGCCTTTGAGAGACCTAGTGTAAATATTTATGTGCCTGAAAAAAATGGAGGGTTTGAAACACAGCTAGTAGTTTCACTGAACATTTATCCTAGCTCATGTTAAAATCACTACTGAAAGTTCTCTTGACTATATGAATGCCAGGACTGGATGTCTGAAAGGTACAGATAATAAATATTAATCAGATAATCTAAGAAGTGTCAGTTTTGCATGTTTTGTGCTTTAAAATCCTTAATTTATTTTAGAACGATTTAAAGAAACTTAAAGTCATAGTCAGTTAAGACTTCAAATTTCACATGGTCATATGGAGGAATGAAAACTGTCAACTATTTTTCATTTTGTTGCAGTCATTCCAATCTAAACTACCTTGGATTAATTTTCCAAGCTGCTCATTTCTGATAGTACAAAAATTCTGTCTGCTCAACAAAAAGGAAATTAAGATATGTATTTCTAAAGTGTCCCAAATTCCCAAATGAATTCTAAAACTGGTATATCCTAATCACTTCAGGGAGAGTTGATTAGTACATGACACTTCCAAAAACAAGGTTAGCCTATTTAGTGGTGTAAATCTGAATTTGGAATAAACTATTAAAAAACATTTCATTGACTTTGACCTGGTTGGCATCCAATTTTAAATACCTGCTTAAGACTTTCTTTTCCTCCCTGCTCATGGCAGGGGTGTTAGAACTGGATGATCTTTAAGGTCCCTTCCAACCCAAACCATTCTGTGATTCTATGATTTTAAACAGCACTTCCTTTATAGCCAGTGGAGAGAAAGAAAAGTTTCTCCAGGAGAGGATTCAGTCAACCAAAGTTCTTAATGAACCTACAGTTCATAGAATCATAGAATGTTTTGGGTTGGAAGGCACCTTAAAGACCATCTAGTTCCACCCCCCCTGCCATGGGCAGGGACACCTTGCACTAGACCAGGTTGCTCAAAGCTTCATCCAGCCTGGCCTTGAACACCTCCAGGGATGGGGCATCCAAAGTTTCGCTGGACACCCTGTTCCAGTGCCTCGCGACCCTCTCTGTGAAGAATTTCTTCCTGATATCTAATCTAAACCTCCCCACTTTCAGTTTAAACCTGTTGCCCCTTGTCCTGTCATTACAGGCCCTTGTAAAAAGTCCCCTCCCAGCTTCCTTGTAGCCCCCTTCAGGTACTGGAAGGCTGCAGTTATGTGTATACATCCCTGTGTTGACTAGAGGGAGCATAAGGTGACAAAACCCCTTACCTTAGCCATCTCAGGTGATTAAAATAAGGTTTTTTGCCTTTCTAATGGCACACGTACTTTTAAAAATCTGTTTTCCTTGGCAAAACAGAAATGCTACCTGAGATGTCTTATATAGCTAAAATACTAAGGAGGAGAAAATAAGCAACCTTTATCCCCAGTCAATCTTTCTCAAGTAGTAGACTAAAGTTTGGAAGCAGAGAAGTTCAGGCATCCAAGAAAGCCAAAAGGCTAAGCAGCCTCAGAGTATCCACAGACATTATCTTCTGAATGTGCATTTCATTTTAGCACTTTTTAGGGTTCTAAGTCCCTTAGGCTTTCAAAAATGAAATGAACAAACAAAACAAAATAAAATCACAAAAAGTTAACAAACATTTTGGAAGAGGGGTTGATAAATGAGAAGTAACAGTTCCCTGGAGTTTTATTAGTTTGAATTTCATGCTGTTGGAACTACAGTTTCTTAAGGACTCATTTTTATGAAGTTTTCTTAACAATTTTTGAGATGTGGAGCGTGTCATTGGGTCGAACTCCTAGAAATGGTTATGATTACTCAAAAAGGTACTAAAGAGTTTCATAACATCTGCAAGGGCTTTTAGAGTGCCCTTCATAGCAAACGAATGGTAAAATTTGTAATAATAATGAAGACTGAAATTGTTTTTTAGACAGAAATAATGAAAAGATACCTGACAGCTGGGAATCATTTAAAAAGCCAAATCCTGTGCAACAGGGGTCAGCATCACACCAACGCTCACACTCAAAAAAGCTGGGAAAGGAAAAACATCATTACTTTTATTATCAGTAGCAATCTGTCTCTGCCATGGAGAAGGGAAGAGAGGACACTGTATAGGGGAGAGGCAATGGGAACTTGTATTATTCTCTTTCACAACAAGACCATCTCAGAGTTCTTGATACTGCATAGATACTTCCATACACCTTCCATCTGTACATGAAATTATGTTTGATTGGAATATATCTACTAAAGTAAACCTAATAATTTAGGTAAGTATTTTGCTATCTGTCCTAAAAATATCAGCCTATATTAATTTGGTCTATTACAGCTAAGAGATTTTACTAGCCAAACAGCCATTTAATAGCAGTATAAGTAGTAATCCATGCATATATAATTGTTAATTATATACATTATTATTATTAACTCCATTATAAATTTCCTTTAAATCATATGAGGTGTTTTGCTTTCTTAAATATTCTCAAATAATGCTGTTCTTGGATCAGTACATCTGACCCATTCATCTGCAGCACAGGGCCTTGGTATTCCAGGCATGATGAAGCTTCCAGTAAAAACAAAGAAGACATGTCCTACCCTTCTGAAACAGTTTTTCTGCTCATGTCAGTCTTATTCCTCACGGAGATCCCCGTTACTTTCTGGAATGGTACATGTGTGTAGAAACTCTTCACAGAACTCTTCAGAGTGACTGGTAGGAAAAAGAAAAACAAAATTGGAAAAATCAGGTTTTCCTTATAACTTACATTTCCTAGCCAAGTAATCATATGGTAAGGGTAAATTTTATGTTTCTATGCTACAGTGGTCTTCATCCATCAAAAGGTAATTTTTACATTATCACAGTAAACTTTTGACAGTTAAGCCTGAAGATAAACAAAAATCCAACAAGCTCTAAAAACTAAGCAAAGTACATCACCACAGAACGACTTCCAGTCCAGGGCTTCTGTATCTGAGACCTGTATTAATATTAATCCTTCCTCCAAGTCCAAAACCAGGAGTCAATTCCAGATTGGAAGTCTCCAGTCTACTCATGCATTAGTAAACATGTGCTGCACATTTTTCACAGCAAAAGTATAGGTACCTGAACAGTGATAAAAGGCTTGCTCGTCAAGCTTCCTTACATGAGCTCTATGAACAAATCATTGAGCTTCCCAAGCATTTAAAGAGCAGAGATTAAAATCACATGTCTATAACTCTGGATTTGCTAAATAAAAAAAAAAAAAAAATACACTCAACAACTTTCAATTTTTCATTTCTTAACATGGAAATTTTAATGGTAGAAAATGGGATTGGCGACATATCATCCCAATGAGAATCCTAATGCCCATTTCACCCACATTACAAAAAGATCTAAGACCTGGTATACAAATTATTTGAGCTACCCTTGTCCTCTCGGAATTGGGAGTAACTGAGGTGAAGAGTGGAATTCGTGGTTCATATCTTTCCATTCTGAACTGAAAAGGAAAAACCATATGCAGAGCACCCTGACTTTCCCTTGCACCATCACATCCTAGGACTCATTCGTATATTCAGATTTTTTCTCTCAGAACCAAGAGGGAAAACATTAACTTGCATTACCATGGGCAGAGCACACATTATACATCCAAATCCCCAAACTTGCCTATTTTATGATACAATGTCTGCGGTTGCCAAGGTAGCACGGTTTGACATTTTTCTGGTATTTGATCGATGCTGCCATCGCAAATCTGTGCTTCTGGATAGAGGGCACACACAAAGTACGTGTCTGTGGCGTTTTGAAGATCTGCCATTTGACAAAACTCATCTTGTGTACAACCTAGGAAGCAAAGTCACGAAGAGTTACACACACATGAGGGCTTCTTCCCCTCTATATTCCTCTTCTTGTCTTCAGTAAACAACTGAAAGTGAGAATTTCAATACTATTCTATTACAGTGCAAAAGAAACAGGGATAGATTCTGTTTCTACTGACACTGAAGAGCAGGCTTGCCTGGAGAGCACGGAAAAGAAGCTACACCACAGCTAATTGGAAAGATACACTCTCCAGTTGTGACAAGCATTAGCCTAGTGTAATGGTGTCACTACACCATGACTCATAAAGATAGCTCTTTCTTTGTAGTAAATTTGACATACAATCTATATAATCATAAAACAACTCTGCATCAATCGTGGGTGCCTTTAAAGAATAAAAAAACCCAATAAAGTCTACAATGTCTCAGGAAGTTTTTGCAAAAAATATTTCTGAAGCTTTCATACATCAACGAAAATATAAATAACTTTTCTAGAATCAGCTGTTCAAGCAATTTGCTTGTAACAATCTGCATTGAAATTTGCCCCAGTGTAACAATCTCCTTCAGAGATTCTCCAGAAAAGAAACAAAGCTGTCCAACCCATTTCTTATTTACTGTGACAATACTTCTGTAAATATATACATCAATGCTTAATTTTAAACAGGCATAGCTCAACCAACCTCTTACAGCGATATTTGTGCACCATTTGGTACTCCTGTTTCTGCCTTCCTGGTAGGCAGAGCTAGAAACTCTTTGCTATTTATCACATCAAAATATCCTTTCTCATTAACCCCAAAAGTCTGTATTTTACCTTATTCTATTACCACTAGGTCATCTATACATTTGGAGCTGTACATATCAAGGACAGCAAAGTAGTGCCTAAGCTGTATCTTCTACTTCTGTTGCCCATAAGAGGGACATCCTGATGCTGAAAGATGGGTATCCTTTCTTTCACAGTAAACAAAGATTGTAAGGAAGAAACAGGTGGCCCCATTAGCAAATTCTATGAACACTTTGTGGGTTTTTCCTGAAAAATCTACAAGTCCAGAGTTTCTACTCATCATGATTACAATGCCTATGAAAAGATTTTAATTAATTATTATTCCCTACAGAATAACAGTCTCCAAGATGACTTACGTGTGAGACACCAAAGCACAGCTTCCTCTGCAGAGTACTTCTGCCTGAAGACCCAATACTGCTGGTAAGGGAGAGAATAGTTCTGGTCACTTCGTATCCGGCTGTCGTCCATTAGGTAGAAAAGATCCCTTGTGGAATCTAAGATACAAACAAACAAACAAACAAACAAGCGGCTCAAACCCACAAAAACTTCAGTATGATCTGGAATACATTAAATTTATTTATATATAAGATTTTGCTTTTCAGGGTAAAACGGCTGCAACTGTTTTGTAAGGTTACCTACACCAAAGACAGCTTTTAATAACAGAGTTGTCCACCCACCGTTACTGGTGCTTGTGCAGGCAATGCCTCCTCACAGAGATGCACTGCACAACATAGCATTGTCAGACTATTTCCATCACCCAGAAACTAGATGAAAATCACAGTTCTTAGAAAGAAGGTTGTCTCTACTCTGTCATAAAACCCATCAGCCCAACAGTGAAGTATGTCTCAGAGATGTTAACACCACCTTAATCAATCTAGCTTTATTAATCCAAAATACAGCTGTTTCCTTATACTCCCTTGAGAAGCTTTTACACCTCTCAATGTTAAAAGTTCTCTTAACAAGCTTAATACCTATTTCAGCCATTTAATCTTATTTCTCCTAGTTTATGTTCCCACAGACCACATTAAATAACTCTCTTCTGTCTCCTGCCTGGGATCTTTAAATGTGTATACAGTGCTTTATGCCTCTTGAGTTTCCTATGAAACTTTAAATTCATCCCTTTAAATAAGGGTTCAAGTAAAATATTGAAAGAAATGGACAATTTTCACTGATCTCTTACAAATTTCTTACTAAATGCATTTTTATTTATCAAATGTCATCACAGCATATCTCATCCTCAGTTACTTCAGTAATGTGAGATTCCTGTTATTTAATCTTACTGCACTGAAACAGCTTGACAAAAATAAAAATACGAAAGCAAAGTCACACTGATGACTGCACCAACTGACATGCTTGGAATGCACAATAGCTTCAAATTTTCTATCAGAAAACAGAAAGATATGTTGCTATGTGCTTTAAGGATGATCACCAAGTAATAAACCCTCTGTAGACATTTTTCCCAGCTGTATCCATAATTTTTTTAGAAAGGTGACATAACTCTTGCTATCTCTCAAGACTTAACTTCAACATTCAGTTTCTCTTAAAACAGTTCGTGTCATGATTAAGACTAAAGGATGGAGGAAGAAGCTGCATTCCTTTCATAACTTCAGGTTTTAATGGTATCATCAGCCACAGCCAGGCAAATGGAGAACCCCGAGGGCTGCACTCATGCCTTGGCAGGTAAATGCAAGAAAATTTCAGCCCATGTATTAAGTGCATTTCTTTTTGGTCATTTTTAAGTCCAGACTTTAAAATACCACTAATTGCATAGGAGTGTCACTGGTTAAATGGGCATTTTAGTTTACCTTCCATTCAAATTACATTAACAAAATCAGCAATTCCCTTTGAGTTAAGATTTTACATGTAGCAAAACACATGCTCAGGTAGACATCAAGGCTTCTCAGTAAAGATTACAGTCCATTAGAGGTGAACCAAAGTGTTCTCAACAGGCTCCACAGCTCTTCTCTTATGATTATGGTGTTGAAGGCCCAAATAAACTCTAGTAACTTACAATTAATTTGGATATATACAGGACTTAGTATAATGAAGAGCAGACACTGGCATAACAAAGGAGCTAGAGAACTTCACAGATCCCTGGCTTCCACCATGCATGGAAAAAACACTTGTGATTGCAGTTTCATCCTGAGTTTCTCTAAGCATCATATTTACAGTCATATTGTCAGTAGCAGTAAAAACGCCCAAGTACTCAGGCTAAGGATTTGCATCTTGAGTTTATGTGAATTTTTTTCTCAGCCAAATAATATTTCTTAAATTTTACAGTTCAGGAAGTCTAAAAGAACAAGCTTTCACGTCACTTTTTAACATGTTCGTTTCCAGTCTGGCCTGGGAAGGTAAAAAGCTTCAAGACAGGAGGCTTACATTTTAAATATCTTTCTTAAAATCTGTATCAGACTTCCTACCTAAGAGAAATCCTCTGGGCTTCACAATACCTATAACATTACAATACAGATACGGCAATATATGACATTTTCTGGTTAAATTCTGCACCCTCCTCTGCTATCTTCTGCTGCCTTCTCTGTCTGCCCTCACTGTAATACCTGATAACATTAGATTGCTCTCAGTCTTCAAAGCAGTTGCATCACATGCAGAGGTTTCAGTCCGGGTAACCATATCAGAGCCTGGAATGGGACAGGAATTAAAAAGCATAGTAATTCCCTTTATTTTTCTTCCAGAAGACAAGATCATCTTTAGTTCCTAAAATGTAACAAATATTTTGAAGTGCAACTTTTAGGAGAACTCCTTAAGTAGTTCCATCAACTGCCGAATCAAAAATGAGTAAAACCATCTCCACATAACTCTGGGGAAAACCTAAACCAAAACATGCTGTTTGGACCATAAAAACAAATGCCATATCCACAATCACTATGCATTCAGTGTCCTGGAGGCTGTGTGCATTTATAACGCTGCATCACAAACCATTTGTGCAGGTCCTACTACGTACACTGTGAACTTGCAAAAATAACACATATAGGCTTATCATGTTAATAAAAATAACCCATCTAGCTATGCATAAAGTGTAAAATTATTATGGTACCTGGACACTGATGGGACAAAGACAAGGGTCTCCATGACACCATTTTCAAAGGTATTAGAAGTTACAAAGTATATACTCAGATACAAGAATTTACCCAAATTTCATGAAACTGACAGCAGCAAAATTACTCCAGAATACAGCCACCCCTGCCAGAAAACACTTTCAAGTATTGTCTCAATTTGGACAGTATAAACTAAAGTCAGAATGACATTTCCATTATAGAACACCCATGTACCATTATCTACAGTACATCATAAGCTCCTATAACACCACTTGTGAGATAACTCACCTCTCCACAGATAAACGTGCTGAAAGTTAGTAAAATTTCCTTCTGCCTCTTCTGCCAATTTAGAAGCTAATAAAGAAAAGAGTTCGTTAGAATAGCGGGCCAGAGTAAGAAGGTAGTACTGAAATGCTCAGAAATTTCAATAAAAGACATCACTAGGCTATGCACTTATTTACAATACAAGACCCTAAGGAAAAAGGACCCAGGTATCCTGGTGCTAGTCTGGGTCCAGGGTGCCAAGGCTTTACTCTGTTTTCCATCATTGCTATTTCTGTGCAGCTCTGGGTATCTGTCTTCTTGCATTTGCTCCAGAGTTTACCTTTCTTTCAGATTATTGGCTTGAAACAGTGGAAGTATTACAGGGTAACATACTAAAAACATACAGAGACCTGACTTTCGTTAATGTTCACACAGAAAAACATGAGAGGTTCATCTGTCTAACAATGCATCCATAGAATCATAGAGTCATGGAATG